GACTTGAGCTACGAGTCATGGTGCTTGCAGCGCCCAAAGTACTCTGCAAGCGGGGCCGTGGCCTCAAGAGCTCCCCACCGCTTGACCCAGCCAGCAAGGTCTGAATGGATGGATACCAGGTCAGAGCTTATAATCATTTTGGATACCTGGTAGGATTTTGTGAACCTCTTCGGTGGCATTGGAGTAACAATGCACACGCTGAAGTCAGTAGTGCCCGGATCAACAAGAACACGAAACAGTTGCCTCCGACTGGCTGTAACAGAAGCCGAAATGCTGAACCCTGTGCAAAGCAAAGTTCAAATGTCTTGTCCAAAGAACATGCAGAAAACGATGCCTACCAGAAGCGCCTGCTGAGTGCTGCATCTAAGGAGGGCCAAAGACACTCGATGAGGCGGCAGCAGAAAAATCATTTTCATTCAAACTGAGCCGCCCGTGGTAGGGTTTGAGGGCCAAGCGCGAAGCCGATGGTAGACGGTTGCTAAGGGTTAACCACCCTCATGCAGGGGTGGTTGCTGAAGTTCTGTGGCATAGACACTTGTTGATGAGTTGCGTTGTGTGAAGCCTTTTAATCAATGCGCCAGGTTTCCCTGTGCGCCACAGATTATCCTGCAGGATCAGGTGTAGTATCCGCTGCCCCAGGATTGCACTGTTAGCAGGTAGCGCGCCGAGAATCATTCTTCTTGGTGGGCGTGTGATCATTATGCTGCACTTGTTATCGATGTTATGGCTGATGCGATCAGAATCCTGATTTAGTTCCCCGATCTCTAGGAGCATCACGTATTTGAGGAGCCAAAAATGCACATGGATCTTTCGGGCTGTCAGGGAACCCACATTGGGGAACCTTCAGGCTCTTGTTGAGAGAATTGTTCTGTCCACTTGCAGTGGTGTCAACAGCCGCCAGGCTCTAGGTGTGAGCGGTATGCAGGTGATGGTAGCAGAACGAACAATTTCAGCGATAATCTCACGAGTACCGAAATTGAACGACATCCCTGGGTGGCTCATTTTGGAGCTCTTGCTGCACTTAGATTCATTGGCTGGAATTCGCAATCCCGGTGTTCTTGTGAGAGCACCGGCTTGCTGATTTTGCCACAGGACCCGGCATGCAGCTGCTCCGGGTATCAACAGATTTTCCTTTGGGATGGAATCGCGATGATGAAGCTCACTGGCTGGGCAGATACATGTTCTAAAAGAGGTGTAATTGCAAACTCCTTGGGACGCAAAAACCTCAGCTACTAGGATGGACCCTTGGGATGAAACGGTGCAAGAACAACAGCCGCCAAAAAGTCGAAATCCGTGAAGCCTGGCTACAAATTGGAGGCTCATGGCTAACCATAATCCAATTCCAGCTGTACTACTGTACTTGCAAGACGATCTCCATCTTTGTATTCCTAGCATGTTCATTTGAGCTATAGGGCTTTATGTAGGGGACTACTGCAGGGGATACTAAGTGGGATACTAGGAGTTCAGATTATAGTTCATCTTGAGTCGCCTCCATTTAATCATGAAGCAGGTGTCCCATCCTCTCCACCATCCCTGCTCAGAAGTGGGGTTACTTAGGGATTATATCGGGATAATGGAAAGCAGCTGGAAACTACTATAGTATGTAGGTGTTATATTGGGATAATGGAAAAGAAGCTGGAAACGACTATTTAGGGTTTAGGGGTTTTGGGTTAGTATTTCTGGCGGTGTGCGAGCCCAGATGCAAAAAGGGTTAGTACTACTATCCATTCTTAGGGGGCAGGTGTATTGAAAGGCTTAAGCAGGGGCCTGTTTAATTGACCTAGGGAAATTCCCACTTCTGATTGGAATTCCGTTCGATGTTAAATGCAGATTTACGTACACCAGCTATAGACAACAATTCTGCATAGTGAATAACATCATTGTTACAATTTCCCGCGATTCTTTACATAACGTCTGTTCATATTATATGTATACATATACGTACAGATAGCTACAAATATTCGCCTGCACAACATGCAAAATTTCCCGGAACCAATAAAGAAGAACACCAAGGAGATCAAGTTGTCGTTCCCCAGAATTCAGTGTCAATATCCTTGTTTTGGCTGCTTGCAGGAGGTGTGTCAGAATAGGGGGAAGGATCTGAGCTCTTTGCAAACAGCGCCCAAATCCTCGGCCAGAAAATTTGACACTTGGCCTCTTTGCCGAGGCATCAACAAACTACTTATGAAAGATACGCAGAACGCACACAAATTGTGTGCAGGATTTAAGTGGCGCCCAATGCCATCTCTACTGCAAAGACGCAAAGAAAGAACGATCGCTTTATCAAGCCATCCTCCGTAGGCTGTAGCGCTGGAGGCAAACGCCCTTCTGGCCAGCGACGCCTAGGGGATACAACGATTCGGGAAGCCCCTGCACCAGCCTCCGCTGTGAAAAATCCTCTTTGGTCAGGGTTTGGATCAACCATGTCTACCTCGAAAAGGACTAGATCAGAACAAAAGAAGCCGACCTTTCTTTTCACTGAGTTGTTGGACTGTTGTTTTCTGCTCTATCCATACAAGAGTACACAGAGCAAAGCTTAAAAGGGACGTCCCAACATGACCGAATTAACCAGCACCCTTCTTGAAGGCGTGGCTAGTTGATTTAGGGTGGTTTGGGGCAGAAGGCATCGTCAGCGGCGTATGTGATAATCATTGACGGCGCCTATCACCATTGCTGTAGGACACCTCTAGAGGGGCGGGCTTCAACAGCTAGCTTTCAAGGTGCAGCTTTCGCTTGTAGAGTGGGTCACAGCTTTCTAAGGAACCGGGCGATGGAATCCGTTCAGTCTTGAAAGTCTGAGAACCCTCCAGAATGCCAACCACCGGCGACGGGGGCTGTAGGGGGCAACCTGGTTTAAGAGGCTCAGACATCTTTCGCCCCGCTGTCCAGGAGCAGGTCCCCTGGGGGATGGGGCCCTCGGGTTCTGACGACCGAGTTCTTCAGGGTGGACAATATCCTTGTATAAGCAAATTTCAGTGAGTTGAAGCTTGTTCCACGTCGGCAAGTTTTGCGATGTATTTGGAAAAGCTCCATGCTACAACTTTATCCTGGATCTTGTGTTTAAAGGACTTGTACGCTTAGGTGTGACATGTCTTGTATATGTTTTAAGGCGAGCCTAGGCAGGAGTCAATGGTAAAGAGGAGCGTGTTGCCGACGCATGAGCAATCCAGCCAGCGCGTAGGGAAACAAGAGCTGCTGACTGAATGATAAAGTAAGCCAGAGCATTCAATGGGGTCTTAGTGGCTGATTGGTCTCCGAAAGCCTGGACACTATGCTTCCGATGTTTCTGCAAACCTAGCTTGATGAGGTTTCACTGCTCAGTGCAGCTGTGCTGGTTGCGGAGGGGCTTGCGGGGCAGGGCGTTGTTCGGCAAACACCACATAGCGATAGACGCCAGGCTGGTAGGCATGATGTGGGGGTTTCTGACTTCCTCGCATACTGCAAACATGACTTGGGGCCTCGTCCAGCGAAGTCCTTCGGCCCGCTCCCATGCCACGCAGTTCTGCATGTAGTTCTCAGGTGCGCTTGCAGAGGTGCCTGGAAAGTTTGAGTCCATGGGGCTCAGCACTTGGGTCAGAAGTCAAGGATGATCTGCTTTAGGATTCCTGTGTGGGTTGACTGGTTTCAGCTTTGATCCTGAGGTTCTAAGCCACGATGCTTAACTTGCATGCATGCAGCATCGATAGGTAATTTTGGCTGAGACCTTCAATCTTTGACTAAGTGCACCAGCACAGTCAGAACAGTGGTGACCCAATCATTCCTGGATACATCAACATAAAACGTCAAAAATCAAAGCTCATGATAGCAACAGCCCCTGCAAGAAGCACGCGGCAGGATGAAGTAAAGCTTGCAGCCGCTCTTATTTTCGAAAACAGGCTTTCGACATCTCCAAAGGTAAAACAGTTGGTTAACGATACCTTGTTTAGGTAGACCAGACAACCCTAAACAGTGGTTTCCGTTGAATTTCCATTTTCTTTTCCATGTGATTTTCCATTACAGGCTGCCAGCGCTGCGAGCCTGACATGGTGTGCATTTGTCCACGCCTGCAATCGCGCTTGTATGACCCTTCATATCAGAGCCACTTGTGGGGCTGTCTTTTTGCAAGGGTTGATCGTCGACAGCTACTGCAAGCAAGGTTTCCACAACGTTCAGAGCTTTCCGTTGTTTTCCTTCATGGCCCGTGTTTTTTCAAACGTTGGTCATGGTTCTGCGATTTTCTGCGTTATGTTGCACGGTTTCCCACAACTGACCTTTTGTGAAATCTCTTTCAACTTGTGCGACTTGTTTTTCCTCCTTCTCACGAGGGGGCATGATGCGCATAGACTTTTCTTTTTTTAAGCTTGGTGCCAAGGAACTACAACACGAAGATATAATTAGCAATAACAGGAGCCGCAATCTGGTCGTAACATGGGTGAAAGTAATCAAAGGATAGTACTAGCTACTAGTAACAATCCTTCAGGCGATTTTTGACAGCATCAGTCGCCATGAAAGCAGTGTACTCACTGTAGTATTTACGGGCGTCATGGTGGTGGTCGTGGTCGTGCTCGTCGTGCTTGTTGTTGTGGTGGTTGTTGTAATTTGTCTGATTGTGGTTGTGGTTGTGGTTGTTGTTGTTGTTGCTGTTGCTGTTGTTGTTAATGTCAAACATGTTTAACCTGACTGTGGCCGCGCAGCTTTCGCTCTCAAGCTCTGTTTATGGAAGGCAGCAATAGCTTAGCGCCTGTTGCCGCATCGGGATCACTGGGGGCTCTGCTCGTAGCTCTCTCTCAGCAGGTCCTCAAGCCTGCTCCTTTGGATTTCTCTTGCCCGGCTTTGGATACTTTTCCTGCGCTTCATTTCTGGGGCCTGCAACTGGATTTGATATCCTTGATACTGGGCATTACCATTGGGCTGATCCTGTATCCTCTGCTTGAGCTCTTCTTCCTCTGGAGGGCTTACGTGAGGGCCTGCATCAAGGCTCGCCTGCGGGGCGGTCCAGATTCCTTGTACAAAATTCTTGAATGAGCATCTCGGATCTTCAGGCTCAGATTGACAACTTGACCCTTCGGGTTCGAGTTCTGGAACTTGAGGTCAGACGCACTGCGGAGGCAGCTCCGGCGGTGCCCCTTGCTTCCTCTTCGGCTCCGGAGGTTCAGGCAGCTGAGGCTCTGGAGGAGTCTACTGTGAACCACGGCTCACTCACTTGGGAGGAGCGCTTGGTGGTGGCTCGCCTTACTGGCGATTTCTTCGTTCGTTGCCTGGAGGGCACGAACCGGGGAGGATCAGGCCAGAATCGCATCGGGCTGCCGAAAAGGGTTTACGTGCTTATCAGGGATAACAAGGACAACGTCTTCCGTGGGCCTGTCCGTGTGTACACCCGATTCAGCGATATCAAACCGTTTGTCCAGGTTGGATCTGGTTTCGGGAACGCGATCTTTGCTGGATTTGCTTCTCAGAGGGAAGCAAGGGAGGCAGTTGAACACGCTGGATTCGAGTGGCCCAGTTCGACTTCATCATGAGCGAGCCTGTGGAGGATGTGGAAGAGGGCAGCGAACACGAGGATGTGGATGGGCTGCCTCTTGGTCTTCGGGATTCTTGCCTGGTCACCGCAGCCGGCGACCAGCTCGAGGAAGTTCCCGGGAGCTTTTGCGTGGATGTAAAGGTAAGGGACTTAACTCAAGCAATTCCTGTAATTCCTATAGTAGTGGTTGGGGGTCGATTACTGGTTGCACTTCCAAGCCCCGTTTGGCATCGCTCGCCTACTCAGCGGATCTTGCCGGCCGGTGCTCTGATCAAACCAGCTTTGGCGATGTTTGCCGGGTCATTCCTGGAGATCCTCCCTCGCAGGCAAGTTCGGGCGTCGAGGTCAAGGTCTGGGTCGCTTATGCATCCGCTCAATTGGAGGCCCAGGTCAGACCCGAGGAGGCAGAGGACGTGCTGGAGCCCGCTTTTGCAGACTCGGACGGCCAAGCTTGTCTTCCCTTTGCGGCATCCTTGATTCAGTTGGCCGACGATCACTTCTCATTCCTTACTGCCGAGTCAGAGGTTTGCAGGGTCGGCAGAGTCGCCGGAGGCAAGGGGGCTGACCGCAGAATTGCGGCGTTGGAGTCGCTGGAAAACATAAAGCAGACTTTGGCCGCGCTTGTGGAGCAGAGACGGCCCCCAGCAAGGCAAGCGCCGAGCCCTGGACCAAAGGCAAAGGTGGCGGCTACTGCCCCCGTGCGCCCAAGGAGCGATCTCAGCGGCCTGGACCAGACAGTGGTGGCTTCGGCTCGGGCGGCAGGGATTCCGGACGAGCACCTTCTTCAGATGGCCAGCCTCCTCAAAGTCAAACCTCGAACCATTGGTCAGAGACGGACGAGGAAGACGAGGCAGAGCCGGCGGAAGACGCTGCTGGATCGGGCGAACCCGGAGGCCAAGTGCAGAAAGCGGTCTTGGAGTTGACCAAGATCGCCTTGCTTCGGCCAGGCAGGATTCAAAGCAGGATCTCGAGACTCTTTTGGGGTACAGTGGCCTGGGAGACAAAGCGGAGGGTCTTTCGTCAGGGCCCTCCCGTCGGAACTCAGCTGCACTGGCCGCTCTCCGAAAAGCATTGCGAGATTCGGTTCAGAACTACACCAACCACGTCAGATGGATGTGGCAACTTGCAGCAGTGTGGGACTGTTTGATTCAGGACAAGGTTCCGGAAGCCCGGGCTCGGGTGGCATTGATGATGGCAGCAGGGGAGCAGAGTTCCATAGACTCCGGAAATTGGTTGACTTCCACGGTGAGCTTGCTGGAGGGGCCTCCTCCTTACCAACAGTTCAGCCATCATCAGTCGCCGGCAGCTCACGAACTTCAACATTCGGCTCTGTTCGATCCTCGGTGGTTCGAGCTCTTCCTGTGGCAACTGAAGGAGCAGGAGTCCTACCAGGAGGCCCGGAGAAAGCTTTCCCAACGCAGACCGCAAGGGGAAGCAAAAGGGGAAGATCCGGAGAAACCGGACAAGCCCCAGAAGCCGAAAGGAAAGGCCAAAGGCAAGAGCGGCGCCAACGATGGCGCAGGGGAGTGAAAGCTGGGGAGCCGAGCGAGGGCGGGGGTCCGATCCAGGCCGGGCCTTTGCCTTCCGAGCTTTCCGCATGCAGTTTGTTGAATTCATTGCCCAGGCATCTGCTTCACTTGAATAGTTCCCTGGGTGTTTTTGCCAGAAGCATTCTTAGACAGGAGGGTCGATCAGGGCCCCACACCGCATCCACATCAATTGATCCGTGGCCAACGCCGCCTCCGTATCCTGAGGCCTACAGGGAAGCTGGGGATGATTTCCAGACCCGTGCTCGAAAGAGGGCGGTCAATGCCATGGTGGTGGTCCTCTCACATCTTCACCTTCGGGAAGTTCGCCAGGCGCCCCCAGCCATGACTTGTGGTAGGAGGTTAAGTTCCAGGCAGTGGTCCGTCATTAGAAGACTTGAAAAGATGTTGGATGCGTGGATAATTCATCCGCTGGTGACTTCAGAAAGCATGGGTCGAAACGCAGCAAAAGTTGAAGAATTGGATAGCGTGTTGGGCCACCTTGAGGCGGTGCTGGCCAATACCTTCCATGCGGGAGTTTATGCTCGTCCAGATTGTGAGCGTCTCAAGCCCGGTCGCACCAAAGCAGATGCAGTTCAGTTGGGTCGTTCTGTGGCAAGTTTAGGTTCTACCTTCAAGCAGCTTGATCCTGATCGCATTGCCTTTGTGGGCGAGCCTCGCTTTGATCCGGCCCCCTTCTTAGACGAACGTGGGCGAGATGTTTTTCTCCATCCTCTTTCAGAAGCTCTGCCCCCGGAAGATTACCTTGGCCCCCTTCCTTCGGTCCAGGTGCATGTGGCGGAGAAGAAGCGTGACGATTTCCTCGAACTGCTGGATGCTTCCGGGAGGCTTGCGCTTTTCAGACCTGAAGAAGTTCGACAGCAATTTTTGTCTGGAGTGTTCGCCGTAGGCAAGGACAGAGACAGAGACCGCCTAATCATGGATTCGAGGAGGCTCAACCTTTTGGAACGCCCTCTTGGAAGGTGGATTCGTAGCCTTGCCTCAGGTGAGAGCCTTTGCAGACTGCAACTTCTTCCACACGAGGCCCTGGAGTTCTCCGGGAATGATGTGCGGGACTTTTATCATCTCTTTGCCATCAGCCATGAGAGAGCAGTTCGAAATGGTCTATGCATGTTCATCCCTGAGGCTCGCTGCAGACACTATGCGGCCTACCGTGCCGAGGAGCCCGGATCTTCCAAAATTCCTTGTGCCGGCCCTTAATACCCTTGCCATGGGTGACTGCCAGGCTGTCGAGTTGGCTCAGACTTGTCACCTTTGCTTGGCATGGCGTGAAGGTGCTCTCACTCCCTCGTCGACTTTGACATTGGCTGGGCCGCCTCCTCGTGTATCCTGCTTTGGGGGAATAGTGATTGACGACTTTGTGTGCGGGCAGAAGGTGAGCCGATCTTCTGCTAGGTCCTCTCCGAGTGATGGTGCCCAGGCCGCGGCTCGCCTGTCTGATGCATATGTTCGTGAAGGGCTCATCCCACATACTGGAAAGGCCTTTCGAGACCAGATCAAGGCGACCTTCTGGGGTACTGACATCGACGGGGAGGCAGGCATTGTCCGGGGTTCCCTTCAGCGAGCGATACCCCTCATGTACGTCATCCTCCGTGTTCTTAGTGTTCGTGCAGCAACCCCACATTTGCTCCAGGTGATTGCCGGTTCACTGGTCTCCATTTTCATCTACAGGAGGAGGCTCCTATCTCTGCTCAATCAGATTTTTGCCGTGGTGCAGCATCTTGAGGCTGATGAGGTGGTCCACATTGGTCCCGAACTCCAGACAGAGCTTATGATGTGTGCCGTTCTCCTGCCCCTTGCCGCTACGAACATTCGGGCTTTGGTTCTGCCTCAGGTCTGCGCCACTGATGCCTCTGGATGGGGCGAAGCGGAGGTGAGCTGCGAGATTCCTTTAGCATTGGCCCGTGAAGCAGTTCGTCATTCTCTGAGAAAGTCCGCTTGGGTCAGATTGCTCACCCCGACACAGGCTCTTGCTCGGCTTCATGATGATCTCGATCCCGAGGCTGAGCTTCCTGGAGACCATAGCTTCGCCATGCATCCGCTTTGGGAGGTGCTCCTTAGATTCCCGAAGTACAAGCTGCGGTGGAAGGCACAGAGCGAACGACTTCGGCATATTAATGTGTCCGAGCTCAGGGCTTCCTCAGGTCAGAGCGGCGACAAGGTTTGCAACACCCTGAAAGCCGTGGGCTCAGAGCTTCAGACAGCCAGGTGACTTTGGGATGCATTCAAAAGGGAAGGTCCTCAAGTGCAGCTCTCAACCAAGAACTCAAACAATCACTCCCGAATGTTCTCGGCAATGATATCTACTCTGAGGGGATGTATTCGGATACAAAGCTTAATCCAGCCGATGATCCGACGCGGGGGGCCGAGATCCGGGGACCCAGTATGAGCAAACCAATTTGGTGGGATGCCGCTGCCCAGGGCGATTTTGCACAACTTGATCAGTGGCTTCACCAGGTGGGGGAGACCCTTCCTGTGCAATGGGGCATTCCTGATCCTGCTGAACTGCTTGGGGAGAATTGGGATTCATGCCAGGCCCTGCCACGGACAGACGGGCCTTCTGAGGGGATGATTCCTGTTCCCGTGATTCCGGACCCTTGTCATGAGCCTGTTGAACATACCTGCGCTTTCACTGTGAGCTCGGATGGCAATCAACATGACTTTTGTGTTCGGGATCCGGATGCTGAACAACGGAGTTGCTTCAGCCCAGATGTTACGGCATGTTTGCGAAGCTTCAAAAGCAGTCATTTCGTTTGGCCTCCCCGGACAAGCCCAAATCAGCCTGCTAGGAGCTGGGACTTCTCTAAGCCTGGCTATCTTGATCTCTTTTCAGGATGCAGGGGAGTGGCCAAAACAGTTTCAAGGATTGCCGACACATGGTCGCTTTGCATCGACATTGCCCAAGACCCCAAACTTGACCTTCTCGCTGCGGAGCTTCGAGAAAAGCTTGAATTCTTGATTTCAGCTAAAGTCTTCTTTGCTGTCGGTGCTGCTCCGGTTTGTGGTTCATTCTCAATCGCCGTGACTCCGGCGGTGCGTGACATCACTTGTCCTCAAGGAAAGCCCAACATCAGTGAGAACATGCAGAGGAAGGTTGAGATCGGAAATTCGTTCTCCCGATGGCTCGTTCGCGTTGCCGTCCTGTGCCTCAACCTTGACCTGGCCTTTTGGGTTGAGAATCCTGACAGATCATGGTTGTGGCGACAACCGGAATGGCATGACCTGCTGCTTGACAGCCGCACTGGGTTCTGGAAGGTCACCTTCTGCTCCTTTGGCGCTCCTTGGAAAAAGCCGACTAAGGTGCTCACCAACACGTTTCTCAAAGACCACGTTTCTCCGTGCCCAGGATGTTTGCATCATGTCCCTTTGAGGGGCTTTTCCAGCAAACATAAGAAACCTTGGACCAAAGTGGCGGAGCCATACCCAAAGCGTTTCAGTGGCCACCTCGGGCAGTGCATCGCAGGGTACTCCGGGCTTTTCTCCTCCACCGGCAGGTTTAACGTGGCAGACTGCGCCAAGGTCACCAACGAGCGCATCGGTGAAGCTTCCCTTCCTGGACCCCGAGCCCGTCGCGGACAGCAGATCTCCTCGTGAATTTCCTCTGGACCAAGTTCAGTTGGTGACTGTACAGACAGATCGGCTACAGAGCCAAATCTGGCTGAGGTTTGAGGGCTGGGTCAAGGAGGGCACAAGCGCGGCTGCGGCGGCGACTTTGGTTTCAGTACCCTTTGTCCTGTGCTGGTTAGTCGCTGAGTTTGGGCGGCTTCTGTACTCAAACGGGGAGTCGCTCTACCTCTTCAGGCACTTGATCTTGGCCATGCTCAAGCACTCTCCGTTGACCAGGCAACATGCGCATGTATGCTGGACTCTAGTCACAAAGTGGGAGCTGGTCGAGCCTCTGAGGCATCGATCCCCGCTTCCAGAGGTACTCTTGAAGGCAATGGTCTCAGTTGCGATACTGTGGTCCTGGC